CCTACGAGGTGACTTTTGCCTAGACCCAGAATGTTTGTTTACGAACCGTAAAAATTAATACGGTCCGCCCGTAAAATTAAATACGGTCGAGACCTGGCAAAAATTCATTGCCTGTCGTGTATGAAAAACTGTAGGTTTTTCTAACAGTGGGGGCCGGGCCTGCCGGGCCTGCTATAGGCCAAACAGGCCCGGCCCCTGTGGGACGCTACATCACAAGTAGAGGAGTGGATGATGGAGTTTTTTTGGGGGGTTTGGTTTTTAATCACAGTTTTACAAAACACATTGCATAGCACACATTAAAGATCTCTCTTGTCCAGAATGCATTTTGTTAATTTCATTTTGAACATATTTATATTATTATTTCGAGAAAGAATTGAGATAGCGACCTGGGATTTTCAGGGTCGTTTTGTATCATAAAAAGACAGATCGAGTTCGAAGATGAGCACTCTAGCTCCAAAATTGACTTTTCAAAAAGTCAATAACCACGGGTAACAAAATATTACTTTTTCAAATATTTTTTTCTGGTCTCCTAATGGGTTACTCGTGAAAGTAGACCCCTTTGGTCCGTTTTGCTCTATATTGTACCGTTTCGACGCTGTGGGGCATTTCTTGGCGAAAACAACGTGAAAAAAACAAAATGGTCTATAAAGTCGTATAAAAAGGCTTCATTTCACTAAATTGTAAAGGGAGTAATACTTAGACCACACGTTACGGGTCGAACCACACCCTCTTCAGGGAGTAAAGTATCTGCGAGAGGCCACAACCCAACTCATTAACTGACAAAACTTGCGCATAACTCTCGAAAAATGACACAAACTTGCTTTTACTCGTTGTACACCTATTGTAGGAGTCGCGTGAAAAATGCGTCACGTTTATTGGCGCATTTTAATGCGCATTGCCGCATTTAATGCGCATTTAAGTGCGTTGGTTCTAATAGGAGAGGGATCGTTTTTAGGGGTCGCGACGTTAAGTCTAACAGGCCACTTACCCCTGGATAGAATTGTTTTGGTCTGCGCGCACGATTAGCTAAACTAGAGCACTTTGAATGAGACAGTCTGCGACAAAGGGGGATAAAAGTCGATTTTGCGCTTGCTTTTCGCAGCTTACGGTTCGAGACAGACTTGTCCCCTTGCAGCATATTGTCAGAGCCATAAAGGGCCAGATGCCAATTTTAAACGAAATAGGTGCATAGCCCTAAAGTTTGGCTTGGACGATCCTGCTTTCAGTAATCTGCCCGGGTTTCCCGTTCCCGTCTGACGTGTGCTCTTGCCGGTACGATGCGATGCGCGTACTGTACAGTTGATGTGGGGCTACCCCGTCGATAAAGACCTTGACTGTAAAACTACAGATATATGTTATCTCCCCTACTACAATTTTTTTTCTTTGACTCGTCGCTTCGTATTTAAAGGCATTGTTGTATGCAGTTTTAGTCTGTCTCTTCACCGCTCTCAACCTCGTAGAGCATCATCTGCACGGAATCAACTATGGCAACTCTGTCAGCTTCCCTGTTTCTGTTGTCGTGTGTTCTAGGTAAGCAGTAGGTAGACACCAATTAACTTGCCGTGTGAAAAAATGTCAGTGTTTCGTGGACATGTGTCTGTACATCATTAAAATGTTGACCCTTGAAATGGCTTCAACGACATGGGCCGCTGGTGAACGGGCTCAACATGATTTACTGCCCTGGCAACATGCGTCGCGTAGGTGGCACAACCACAGCCAGTCAAAAAGTTACTGGGTCGAAAAGGAGGGTCCGGCGAAAAGGAGGGTCGGCGCAAACCGCCGCGTACGCTTGTTTGAGCTCGCTCCTGTCCGATTTCCGACACTTAAGCATCCGTTCATGTTCGCTA